TTACCTCTACCATACGGCACAGCTCCACACCAGCCACTTGTATTGTGCCTAAGCAGGCTGGCATTGGCCATGGCGTGAAGGCTTGCACCCCCTAATTTCAGTATCTGTGATTACTGGGGGCTCAGAGAAGATGGTGCAGTTCATACCCTCTCACCCCGGTTCACTCCAATGAGAAAGGCTGGCAGGCTGGTTTTCATATGTATGCTTTTTAATATCATTAATTCTGTTACACTACACACAACCAGTAACAATGATAAATACTGCAATGGAAATGTTAAAAAAAATATTATACATGTTTAATGTTTTTGAAAAAAACAAAACAAAACAAAACACCCACATTTTAAAATAAATTAATGCATAAAACTGATGGTAGAAAAAAGAAAACCCAAAACAAACCACAACAAAACTGATCTGTTTAAGGCAATACTCTATGCAGACGGGAACAGAAGTACAAGAGTGTGCTACATGTTCTGAATGGGAAAAAAAGAAAGAAAAGAAAACCCATACAAGATGCAGATTGATGCTTCAAGAGTGAAAAAACTCCCCAAACCAGGTAATAAAACCAATGGCCAAGTTAAGTGCAGCATTAATATACTCTGCATGTCAAATGATTAGCAGGTTCCTAACATGGACTAAGGTCAAGCTACAACAAATTTATCTTCCTAATTAAAAGGTTATTCAGGTCAAACCCTACATTTAACTCTACTTTGCATTTGGCTGTTTCAGCTATGTTTCACTATATGCATGGACAGCCAGAAACTCATCTCCTGCTCTTGAGATTAACACAAAGGTCGGGAGGTCTCTCCTCCTGAAAGCTATTTCCATTAAATACATCCAAAAAGGATCTTGCTTTTGGTGATCCTGAAATGCCTCTCACCACCCCGTCCCTTGGGGCGCCAGGCACCACACAGGGAAAGGAGATGTGGGAAGCATTTGCTTGGGTTGAGTTTTTTTCCAAGCTGAGGACACGAAATGGAAGTGCAGATTTGATCTGGACTTGGAGGAGTGCTGTTTTCCTGTCTGCCAGAAATGTCTATCTGGAGCCTGCTGAAAGCACTTTGCCAGCATGGGAGAAACTCAGCCTGTACCCAGGCTCTGGATACAACCACATTTGCTATTAAGGTTAGTGTGAAGCTCCATACCTGCCTGGACAGCCAATGAACCTCAATTATTAATGCAGCCCAGAACTTGGCCACTGGAAGGTGGACAATAATCATAATGCCAAAAAAATCCCCCCTCTCCCTCAAGAAAGAAAAGAAAAGGGACAGTAGCCACTTTCTAACAGCCTACCCCCGGTGGATCCCCATCAGCCGCCACCTACGCAAGATCAGCAGTGCCAGATTTCACCAGCATCGACCCGGTACATTCCCAGTAAGGTGCATGTCTGCAAGGTGCTGCCAGGGGGCAAAGAAGCTTCTTGGGACACAGTCAGCCTCCTGTACTGCCCTGCTGGGGTCTGTGCGGAGGAAGCTATGGTACATGAGGAAAGAAACCCAAGCGGAGCTACTAGACTTGTGATGGCCAAGTCTGGGTGCCTTGGGCTGGGGTGGGAGAGGGGGATGCAGAACTGGGCTGAGAGTCACTTTGGTGCAACTGCCTCTGATGCTCATCACTAGTGCATGGGGCGGCGGGGAGGAAAGGCGATGGCTGCTTTGGGAAAAGAGGAGTGAAAGGAGGACATATGCAATATAACAAGGCTTGCAATTCTAGGACTAACCACTGGACACGGATACCGCAGACTACCTGTGACAACTAGCTATCCTTCTACCATTGCTGCTCCCTCCCCGACTTCCTGGTCTGATTCTTCTTCATTCTGGAAAGCCATGGCTGTTTGGCATGACGGCTAGTGCTGACTCTCCCACCCTGGTCCCCACACAGCGCATGGGGTGTCTCAGCTACAGGATGTACAACGAGGTCTGGAAGTCGCATGTTGGGTATAGACCACACGCAAGCAGCACCTGCTTTCAGACCCTTCAGAAAGCTATTTAATGGTGGCTCATTTCCTTTATTAAATTGAAGGTTCAACAACCTCTGTGGAAGGAATAAAAATGGTTAAAAATGTGCAAAAAGGAGTGGAAAAAACCCAACCCTTTCTGAATTTTCTCCACTGCAAAGTCCTTCTCCCTTCAGAACTACAGTGCATCAGGAGCACGTGGGTTGGCAGGCTTGGGACCTGGCACTTGGGTCCCAGACCTTTGCAGCACTGAGACCAGGAGGGTGAAGGCAGCTGACTTGGCCTGGTGGATCACACCAAGGTTTCACACTAGCCTGGTGAACCCTCAGCCCCACAGCCTTCAGGCAGGTGAAGAGAAATCCCAGATGGCTCTCTGGCGCACTCACCATCATGTCGGTTGGATCTCCCACTGGTCTGACATTTGCCTAGGGTTTGTCTCAGGACAGGCAGCTACAAGCTGAACACAGCTGCTACCGCAGCTTTACTGAGCAAAGAAATCTGTGAACTGGGGATGGAGGCGAAGGTGATAAAAACCAGAAGGGCTGCTGTGAAGAGAGCCTTGTCCAAGTTTTCCAACTCACTCCATGTGTCTCTATTACATCTCCCAACAAAATTTGCATCTCCCAAATCATGCAGGCTCGAGGAAGGTGGGTAACAAATCGAATCGCAGCTTTTTTGGAGTGCAGAAGCAAGAGGGCAGCCTGGGTGGAGAGCAGTGCTTCCTGGTGAGCTCACCTGGGGCAGCTGGATGGGCAACTAGGGGAGAAATGCTGCTCTGGGAAGGTAAACATCTCAGTAGGTAACGGGACTTATCTCAGCATGGCCTTTTGGTGGCCTTTTAATTTCCTGGTGCCTACTGCGCTGGTTTCCAGTGACATGTCTCAGACCATCACATTTTAATGAGGCTTCTGTTGTACCTTCCACTCCCTGATGCAATTCCATCCCCTGTATCACCATTTGTTACTATGGAAATGGCTCCACAGGCCACGCACAAACAGCAAGGCAGGCTCCTTCCACGAACAAATTCATCTTTTCATGGAGCTTTTTAGAGAATGAGAAAGGCTCAGAGCCACCACCAGTGGCAAATGAAACTGGGAAGCAGTGGGATGAGCTGCTGTCCACAGGCACCAGGGAAAAGCTGCAACCTGTCCTGCCAGCGTCTGTGCTGCTCCGTGACATGGCTCGCTGCATGGCTGCATGGGCCACGGTGCTCTGCTCCATGTCGTATCAATTAGTTCCCAACTTTGCCTCCCCAGCAAGCTGTCAAAGCAGTGCTCAGCTGGGCAGCATTTAGCTGCTGTGATCCTGGTATTGCCATCAATGTCAAGGGGGGCAAAGGAGAGGATGTAGCTATAAGTTTTTAGAAGCAATGCAGCAGCTCAGCTGCATAATACAATAGGTTAAAATATGGATGCCAGC